CAAATTCACAACTCAAACACAAGTGTGTTTCTCCACCCTGTACAGCTATCTTAAATAAACAAAAAATGCCTTTCATTCAAAAATGGAAAACAGCAAAGTAAAACAGGTCCTGTCTAGGAGGTTGTATGGGGGAGAGGGGATATAGGAAAAGGTGAAGGAGGACGAATACGGTGGGAATATTATGTACTCATGTATGGAGACCTGTTGAAACTATTCCAGGAATGGAGCTGGGAGGGTAAAGGAGAATGATGGAGGGGTGAATTCAACTACGATACATTGTAAGAACTTTTGTAAATGTCACAATGTACCCCCAGTACAATGATAATATGATTTTTAAAAACCATACAAGTGTATTTCTCTGGGTTATGTTGGTGTGCCAGGGATAGTGGGAGGAAGTTAAATTAATGTGTACATAATTTAAAACATTCATTTTTATATTCATCCAAGCCCAGGCACGTATGTAATGGAACAAAATGAAAAAAAGACAACAAACCATATGAAACCCAAAGTTTTAAAACACAACTGGAAATTGGAGGCATTACCTTCAGGGGGCACCCTCTACCCTCAACACCACCTCCTAGGAGACATTCTGTGCTGCCTTTTTCGTTAGGGGACCTTTAAGAGAAAGTTCGAGAAGCATCAAACTGACAAAAAAGAATACAGAAGGAGACACTGGAAGACCTGGGTTTAAGCTCAAGGGCTCTGGAACTAACTTTGTTATCGTGAACAAGTTGCTTCACCGAACTTGAGTTTCCTCATCTGAAAAAGTGGGTGCAACTGACAGAATCAGCATCAGACTGGATGGAAGACTCTAAGAAATGGTATCTGAGGAAGTGTCCCACAAATCATCAGGAGGGTCTGCGTAGATAGGCTGCCTTGGCACACTAGGGGGCTGCAATTCACCTGCTTTAGCTATGAAACTATATGCAAAGAAGGTGGCAAGGCAGAAAAGGTGAGAGCCCAGTGTGTAAATGGCGCAGAACACACTCACTGCACACACTCCTCAGAAAAGCAGGACACACTAAGGAAGGAAAATCAGCTGATGGGGAGATAACAAGAGAACCAAGCGATGGGAAAACATAGCTCCACCAGTTCTGTCACTACCCGTGACTGATTGAAGCGGGAGTAGGAGGAGAGGGAAGCAAGTCCAGCCACTTGCACCTGGCTGCCTGTGGATTAAGGTAAAATGACCGTGTTTGCTCAGAAGGAATTGCTGTTAGGAACTATTGAGGCTCTCCCTCCAGTGTTTCAGGTCTGACGCCTGTTTTAGGCACCTATAATTCAGCATGCCTTTCAAAAACCCATTCAAAACCTGAAAAGAAAATGCAGAACAAATGCAACCAAATGGCATCATTCTTCTGAGCGACAACCGAGGGCACACTGATCCCATGACCCCATTAAACAGGGTTGCAACCTGCTATTGTCCCTTCTGTGGCAAAATTGGTGGCACCCTGCACAGAGCATAGCTTACACTAGCAGGCATCCAACCAAGATTTGTTGAATTTAGTATCTTATCTGCCTATTTAATAGCTTAGAAAATTGTCAGCTTTTTCATCAAAACTACCACCTCTCTTTTTTTTCATTCAAACTCCTCTTAAAATTCAATTCCATTAAGGCTTTTTAATGCATACTAGCAGCAAGGAATTTACTTAAATGAAAAAAAAAAAACCACGCAAAACTCCCTGTTCCCACCTGTGTAGCCATGGCAAGCTATTGTTTGAACCAGAGTATATTATTTAACTTGGATGACAAAAGCTCTGGGGGGTAGTGACCCCATCTTTCAGAAACACAGCTCTGAGCTCACTGGGAGTTCCCCATAAATAACAGCAGCAAGAAATGCTGTTCAGGGACTCAATTTAATTATTAATTTTTCCCATTCCAGATTTTGACTGTATGGGTTTATCACTTGCTTGATTTCCAAGGGGCATCTCTCTCCCAGAAGCTCTGGTGAAGATGATTAAACAGCTCTTCGACTTCCCCTGTCCCCTCCCCATCCTAGCCCAAGTAGGAACACCTGATTGAGCCAAAACGTAGATTCTGAGTGCAGTCAGGATGTCTGCTGGGTTTGGAAGGGAACTGAGTCCTCCAGGGCCCAAGAGTTAGATGCAGTCAAGAGAAATGTTTTGGCTCTACACATCAACACAGCTGTCAGACAGCAAAGCTTGGACCTCCACCATTATTACCTGCTGTGGGCCTCCTAACTGTCTTGTCATTAACCCCAGAAACCAAGTGTGACTAAAGCTTGACACAAAGTAATATTTGGAGGATACTTTCAAGTCTTTCAGCAGAAAAGCAGAACACAGTGATCTCCCAAACTTGAACCCTTTGATCATAAAGATGTATAAAGATAGATGTTAAACATGAAATTATATGTGTACAGCAAAACTAAGTCATTTATGGGGCAATGTCTGTTATTTATATATTTTTAAAAATTATACCAGTAATGAAATGAAGATGTTATGTGCTTTCCCTAGCACACAGCTGACAGGCAGAGGAAGAAGTGACCATTCTTTTTCCTAATACTTGGTAAGAAGTGCTTTGCAGAGAAAGAAGTGGGTGGGGGTGCCATTTACCTACATATTAATGTGCCTTACAGCCAGTACTTCAGAGACCTTGGTACACAACTGGACAAACACAACCCATTTTCCAAGTGGAGACTTTTCCCCTTCCTCTCTGACTCATTTTATACCAAAACAATGGCAACACCTGTAGCAGTTAATTTCTGCTCTTTGATTTCTGCCCAGTTATAAAGGAGGCTCTCAGCAGGCTCTCCTCTCAGGAGCCATATGTGGAGCTGATGTGCCAACAGCCTTGGAAGGGAACCGGCCTCCGGAGAAGTGCACAATGGCTCCATAATCCCCATCAACTGGACCCTCTTGAACTGACGCTTTATTTGCCACTCAAAGAGCTGCCAGTCTCAAGATTCAAGCCGTGGCTGCCCAGCGCGCCCAGGGGAAACCTGTGTCCTTTGCCTGGTTCAGCCACAGCCCAAGGGTGGTGCCAATGACCCCGCGATCTAGAACAGTAACCAGGAGTCCAGAAACTGCCTAGAGCACCCCAACACTGTCCCTTGCTCTCCCCTCCAGGGTGACGCTTTCCATCCACAAAGCCACCTCGCTCCTGGCAGTCTCTTCCCTGGGTTAGAGACCACAGCAACCCTTAGCTGAGCCACAGCCCCGCCCCCCTGTGCTGGGTCTCGCTGGGGTTTCTGTGAGCGGCTTTTGCAGGCTGGCATTGATTTACCCATGTTGAGCAGGCTACCAACTCTTCAGACAACATCACATGTGTTGCCGCTGGGGGTAGGGGTGGGGGCACAAAGGCTGGGGTGTGGCAGTGCGCCCTTTAGGTTCAATGGCTTCTCTGCCAAAGGCACTGTTTGAGAACTGTGTTGACCAAGAGGGTCCAACCCGCACGCCCACTGATAGCATACGAAGCGAGGAAGTCTGGAGAAGCGATTAGGGACACAGGGGCTATGTAGGGAGACTCAGCCCCAAACAAGCGTCCACATTTGCACAGAAAACGATGCCACTGGGAGGCAGCCACTAGAGTTTTGAGCCTACCTCCAATCCTGCCCGCCGCCCTCCCTTTACACTCTCCCTTTGGGCAGCAGACTGTGCCCGAGGTCTCAGATGACCAGTGGCTATGTGAACCTGAGACTTGGTAAATGTCACCCGCGTCCCCCTCCCCCTCCCTCTGCCTTCTCTGCCTCGGCTGCGACATCCTGGTGGCAGCGCTCTCCGAGGGGCCCAGGGGACAGGACTTACGCAGTTGTGCTGGGTCGTCTCGAAGTCCCAGCTGCAGCTCTTGGCGCGCGCCTGGATCTCACTCATCCTGAAGAGGCAGAGCGCGGTGGTGGCGGGGGAGCGTTTCTCCTGGCCCTCTCCCGTGGCCGCGCTGAACACGCCGGCCCAGATGTCCAGGGCCTCCACCAGGCTGGAGGAAAGGAGCAGGCGGCGACCGTCGGGGTGGCCGTGGCCGCAGTCGAGGGCCGCCTGGCCCTGGAACAGCACCTCGGTGCTCTGTGCGATGCGCGCCATGCTGGGCCAGCCGGTGGCGGCGCCGCTCGTGTAGTTGTAGGGGTAGTAGGGGAAGTAGACGCTGCCGTTCCAGAGAAAGGCGTCCACGAAGTGCAGGCTGCCCGCACCATAGCGCAGTTTAAGGCGGCCCAGCTCCTGCGTGGGCAGGCTGCGCGACTCGGTGTTCTTGAGTGCGATGGCAGTGCCGCGATCGGATGCCGCAGGGTTGCAGCGGCTCGCGGTCTCGGGCTCGGGCAACACGTACGTGGCGGCCACGGCCAGGTACCAGAGGTGGTTGTCGCCCGCACGGTACACTACGCCGGCCGTCGAGCCTTGCGGGTGACAAGACACCACCTCGGTGCCGTTGCGCAGGGAGCCGCGGCTCAGGTTGCCCAGGGGCCGCACCTCGCAAGCGCCCCGATCGAAGGTCCAACCCGTGAGCAGCAGCCCCTCGAGGCCGGCCGCCCCCTCGCGGTAGGGCAACAGCAGCTTGCTGAAGCTGCTCCCGGGCCGGGGCCGCGCGGGGGGCGCCAACGAGACGGGCTCCGTGCAGTTGCCGGCTTGGTCCCGGTACAGGCGGGAGAGCCTGTGCTTCAGGCTGTAGTCCAGCTGGTCCAGGCAGCTGCCGCTGGCCACGAACACGCCGTTCTCCCGGCTCGCCGCGATGGCTCCGATGGCTTGCTCCGATCGCCACACCGGCTCGTCCGCGCCCCGGGCGGGCGCCGCCAGCGCCAACAGATAGGCGAGCAGGGGCAGCGGCGCGGCGGGGCGCGGGGGGCGCGGCGGCGCCTTCCTCCCGGAGACCTCCATGGGGCTGGGGGGGCCGCCCCCGGGTAGGGCGCGCGGCGGCGACGGCGGCTCAGGCGCGCGGCGACGGAGACGCGGGCGGCGGCAGCGGCGGCGGCTCCTGCGCGCGCTCGGGCTCCCGAGGCCGCCTCATCCCCGCGGCTCGCCCGGGAAGGAGAGCAGGGAGGACGGCGCGCGGCGGGCTCGCTCCGGCAGCCTGTGCAGCAGCAGCAGCAGCGGCGGCGACAAGCCCTGCGCGCTCCGGCACCGCTTCCTCCTCGCCCTCCTTCGCCTGAGAGTTCCTCTGTGCCGCGCGGGCGCTCGCGGGGAGGCGCGGAGGGGAAGGGAGGGGACGGGCGGAGGGGAGCGCGGCGGGCGGGGAGGGCTGGAGAGGTTGGGTGCGCTTGTGCGTTTCACTTTCCCATTGTGAAAGTGGGATGCAACTGGCCCCCTTCCTCATCCTCTTCCTCCCCCGCCCTCCGCCTCCTGCCCGCCCGCCCAGCCTCCCTCCACGCCCAAGTCCCCTCCCCTCTTGATTCGGTGAGATCGGGAGGAGGGAGGTCTCGTAATTTGGGTTACTGTGTAGGTGGCCTCTTTCATCTATTCATAACAAAGCTGAGCCGCCTGCCACTGCCGCCGCGGCCGCCACCCTAGCCCCTTGGCTCGTCCTGGGTTCCTGGGGCGCGCTAACGGTGCACAGAGCGGGCTCCCGCGCTCGCCTGCCTGCGGGGCTGCTCCAACGCCCGGGTTTTGTTTACGAGAGTAGCTGGCGGGGGGGGGGGGTACGCCAGGCGCGAGGATGGAGGAGCCAGGGTCGAAGAGGTTGCAGCGGAGGCCCAGGGCTGCGAGGGCGGCTGACAGGTGTGGAAGCCGCGGGAGGGAGGCTCCAGGGAAGCGGGCGGGAGACGCGGCCAAGCAGGAGGCTCTGGGGACTCAAGGCGCCCCTGTGACAGGAGGTGGGTTTCCCCGGGTCAGAGTGAGATGGAGGAAAGACAGGCGCCACACTCTCGTTCTGGACAATCCCCGGGGCTCGGCGGCCCGAAGCTCCCATATTTGTAAAGGTTCTCTAATCTCCCTTGGCAACGGAGTCCCAGGCTCTCCAATCTAGCTCTTAGAAAGTTCTGCCCACTATCCAACCCTAATGATCACGGCTAGCATTTTTTGTGCACTTACTACCTGCCGGGAGCTGTTCTAAGAACATCATATAGATTAAATTCATTTAATACTCAAAACAACCGTATTAATTAGCGACAATTACCATCCCTTCTTAGCCATCAGGAAGAATGACCAGGGAGAGGCTATGGTATGGAACTTGCCAGGGTTCTACAGCTGGTTAACAGCAGAGATTGGAATCCATATCTAGTTCCAGGTCCTCTTTCACGTGCCATGCAAGTCAAGTGCCACCTGTGGCCATTACAACAGTCTCCAGAGATCATTCTTTGAGGCGGAACTGGAAAGTTCCCCAAATTAAATGCACCAACCTGCCCCCACCCTGCACAGCCAGCCTCGCTATTTTAGAACTAGGTACTTATGTCCCTACAGGCTCTCCCTCTGTCTCATCATTTCCCACTTCTTTCCTTTGGACCCCCGTGAGATCTCACCACCTTCCCCAGCCAGCAACTATCAGCTGGGTTGCCCCCAAGCCACCAAGAATTTCCGGAACACAGCAAATCATGGAGCACTGGGGAGCGGATGATTTCTCAGAAGGGGGCGTCCCAGAGGCACACCCAGGAAGTATGGCAGATGGGGAGGGGACTGAGGACCCCTCCCATAGATCCTTGGGAAATGATCGTTTTTTCTCAGGCTTTCTTCCAGGCCAGAGTGGTGGGGGGAGAGGGGACTGGTTGCTGTCCTCTTCCTTCCTTCCCCAGAGCCCCCCCCCCCCCCAGCTCTTGGTGGGAGCTTAGGAAATGGCAGAGGCCGAGCTCTGAGGAAGGAGGCACCTGTTGAGGTTTCACACTTCTACAGCAGTGATTCGGATTCTCCCCAGAGCTGAGGTTTGAGGCAGGGATTCTGGAAGGCAGATTGCCCCCAAGCCACCAAAAATTCCGGAACACAGCAAATCATGGAGCACTGGGGAGCGGATGATTTCTCAGAAGGGGGCGTCCCAGAGGCACACCCAGGAAGTATGGCAGATGGGGAGGGGACTGAGGACCCCTCCCATAGATCCTTGGGAAATGATCGTTTTTTCTCAGGCTTTCTTCCAGGCCAGAGTGGTGGGGAGAGGGGATGGTTGCCTGTCCTCTTCCTTCCTTCCAGAGCCCCCCCAGCTCTTGGTGGGAGCTTAGGAAATGGCAGAGGCCGAGCTCTGAGGAAGGAGGCACCTGTTGAGGTTTCACACTTCTACAGCAGTGATTCGGATTCTCCCCAGAGCTGAGGTTTGAGGCAGGGATTCTGGAAGGCAGAGGAAGGAAAGTGAGGTGGAGAGACAGCATGAGTGTGCAGTTGAAGGATCACACATGACTGGGGGTGTAGAGAGCTTGCCTAGCATGAGCAAGGCCCTTGGTTCGATCCCCAGAGTGCGCACACACACACACACACACACACACACACACACACACGGATAATATCACTTTAGCAGTGAATGTGGAATACTGAGAAGTCCTGTAGCAAACCTCACAAACCCCCGCCCCCTCCCCCCGCACAGCCAAATGGGGAATTTATGCACTGGCCTTTTGACAGTTTTCCCTGTGAGCTATGGAGAGCACCGTGGTCTTCAGCGGCTCTATGAACGGTCTGTGGCCGTGCTGTTATGATAGCACCGAGAAGCAGCATTCAATTCCATTTCAGAGATAGTTTTACTTCACCGGTAACCAAGTCATTTCTCTAAGTCCCAGAGAGTTCGTACAATCAGACACAGACCATCTTGGGAGCTATTTGGATTAAACATACTCCATGATGCGGCATTTTGATCACTACTCAATTCATTGCTGCCTCGTTTGGAAAAAGAAACATCTTAAAAATACTACCAAGCCAGAAGTATAACTGGCTGTGATGGCTACAGTTTCTCTTCATTCTACTGAGACCATAAGCCCTACTCTTGCAAGCAGGCTTCTTTTTGCTCCCATTTAATCATATGCAGAGATTTCTTCCTACAGTGGAAGAAATCAGAATCCGTGCTAACTTTTTGGCATGAAAAATGTAGGCAAGTAAGAAGCAAGGAAACAAACGCATTCTTTCCTGATTCTATCCCATTTTGAACTAATGCCTTTGCCCCTTCCCAGTTTTCTTGTGTACTGAAGCTCCACCTTCAGGATACAAGTTCACATTTGAAAAGTGTGGGAAATTGGAACGATGCAAAGAAATATTTGGGCATGTGGGTCCCATATCTCTTTGATTGCTTTTTCTTGGACACTGCCGTCTGGCCCCAGGGTCCACATCCCATCTGTGACAAAGCTTTCCTCTCCAACTGGCCAATCCCATCTTGTTAGGTGTCACAGCACATTTCAGGACTCCTTGTAACACAACTGGCTGAAACCCAAACAAAAGATCATGTGGATCTGTCCTCCAGACAGGCCTGCTACCACGGAAACAGGCACTTCCCACTGATCCTCTTCATGGAGTGTGCCACGTGCATTCCATGGGGGAGTCTTCAAATGAGAAAATATCCCCTCCCTGAGGCACCAAAGGCAATCTGGGTTAACCAGGCCATCCACAATCAGACTCATTTCTGCTGGACAGGACTTTATAGATTCAGTGGTTTCCTGCTGAGGCTCAAGACATTAAGAAGTATTCAGTAGGCAATTGGTCACAGTCACAAGATGGTTATCATTGGTGCTTTACTTTTCTGACCTTTTTTTTAAATCTCACCATGGTTGGTAGGGCTGACTGGGCTGGCAGAGACTGAAAGCAACTAAGAATATTAGTTGCTGTGTATACACCTTGTCTGTGGAGCTACAACCCCACCACCTCCGGGGGCAGAATTTGGGAAATGTCACCCAGTAGGTTGATCAGTATCTATGTTGTCCTTCTAGGATTTAAGACAGGCCACTTTCCCCTCTGCAGCTTTGTTCATATCTATGTGATCTTCCACATTGAGGACCTTATCATAGCTCCCAGCCCCTTTTGGTGACTGACAGGAAAAAGAAATGAGCCAGCCTCCCCGCTAGTCTGCTGATAAGTAGATAGTACAAAATAGATTAGAGGAAGCTCTGTTTAATAATCTTGAATTGATGCTCAGAGAGAAGTTGAAGCCAGTTCTGTCAACAGAAAAGTCAGCTAAATCCAATGTAGTTAAGACGTAGCTGAGGGAGCCCAGGGCCTCATCCTCTTAGCCCATCCAGCATAGCCCCTGATAGGCCATGAGCACCCTTGTCTTTGGTGATGGGGCCCCGTGCCTTGGGTAACAGGAAGGAAGGCTTGGTGGTGTCCCTTCAGTTGGAGCAACTTGGGTTCACCTCCAACATTGCATTTGTCATCTTTGCCTGCATCATGACTTAGCAGTTCATGGTCATTCACTGGCAGAGTTGCAATTATAAATGACAGAATGGGGTGTCACATACCAGGAAACAATTCTTCACTCTAGGTTCCACCAATGGCTTTCCTTAAGCTACATCAGGGCCTTCATTTGGATTTAGGGATGGAAAAGCTGTTGCCTATGGAAAAAATGTAAAATGTCAGATGCTTTTCAGAGACTATGGAGTCCAAGACATCAACCTGGCTCTCAGTACCCCACTTCTCAAGTAGCAGACTCAGGGTCGTAAAGCTTCCCTTGAGTCCTTCCCCAGAACATTCACTAAAACCATCAGTGGTTAAGAATCTGAGACCTATCAGCAAAATACAGTAAGTCAGCCATCACAGTGCTTTCCAGACTGGCTGGAGCTCAACCCTGCAGGAAGTAGGCAAACTCATCAGGTAATTACTTCTTCAGATTTGGGGAGTCTCTGTAACTTGAGCAGTCTCTTGAAAAATCAAGCTTTTCTCTGATTTTGACAAGATTAGAGTCTCTCCTTGCTCACATTTTTTCTTGTTGCTCCTATGAAATAAGGAGCCAAAAGGGCATCAGAGACAAGACACATAATGCTGATCCCTCCTTCATCTGCTGTCATTTTCCATCCCTTCTCTGAGACTCCCCGTCAGCGTAATCCTAGGCCTGAGTCCCTTGATAACTGGCAGCTTGGCACAAACCCATTCAAAGAGAAGAGCTGCCAGAATGCAGGCCTTCACATTAATAATAACTCAAACTCTTAAAATGAATAGCAGAAGATAAGATTAACATGGAGATAACTCCACAGTCACTTGTACTTCTGCTTCCTTGAGATTCTGGTGGGGAGATGCTCTCAGCTGCCAATGAACTC